GTGTGTGTGTGTGTGTGTGTGTGTGTGTGTGTGTGTGTGTGTGTGTGTACACACCGTTGGTACATGAGGCCCCAGGTCTTCTGAACGGACCAGTGTGAAAAACTGTCTTCATGTTCCATCTGAGGTTCTGCTTCAGGTTCTGTTGGCCCGGATCATCCTGTGAAACAGAACCTGGATCTGTCTTTAAGCCTCGCAGTGTCCTGCAGGTCCAGTCATGGAGGCTGCTGGTTCTGTCGGCCCGGCCCACAAATCAAAGTCCTGTCAGCTCGTCTCGGTCCATTAGTCAGCATCAGCAGCGAGCCGGGCCGGGCCGGGCCGGGCCGGGTCGAGCTCACAGCTCTGCTGACTCGCCTCACTTCACTTCAACTAAACTGGATCTGACTTTCATCCTGTCAGAACCTCCAACAGTTCTGATCCGATTGTTTCTGTTTGTCACCAGAAACCAAGGTGGACACCTGGTCCTGGTCCTGGTCCTGGTTCTGCTTCTGATCCTACTTTGTTCTGATCATTTAAAAACTAAAATTTTCACGAGTGAAAAAACAAACATTTGATCCTAAAAATATAAAAATGTTTATTTTATTTAAAAAATCTGGTTCTGATTCAAGAGACTGGATCAGGTCTCTGGTCTATAGAGACTGGATCAGGTCTCTGGTCTGTAGAGACTGGATCAGGTCTCTGGTCTGTAGAGACTGGATCAGGTCTCTGGTCTGTAGAGACTGGATCAGGTCTCTGGTCTGTAGAGACTGGATCATGCCTCTGGTCTGTAGAGACTGGATCATGTCTCTGGTCTGTAGAGACTGGATCATGTCTCTGGTCTGTAGAGACTGGATCAGGTCTCTGGTCTGTAGAGACTGGATCAGGTCTCTGGTCTGTAGAGACTGGATCATGTCTCTTGTCTATAGAGACTGGATCAGGTATCTGGTCTGTAGAGACTGGATCATGTCTCTGGTCTATAGAAACTGGATCAGGTATCTGGTCTGTAGAGACTGGATCATGTCTCTGGTCTATAGAGACTGGATCAGGTCTCTGGTCTATAGAGACTGGATCAGGTATCTGGTCTGTAGAGACTGGATCAGGTCTCTCGTCTGTAGTGACTGGATCAGGTCTCTGGTCTGTAGAGACCGGCTCAAGTCTTTGGGTCTATAGAGACTGGATCAGGTCTCTGGTCTATAGAGACTGGATCAGGTATCTGGTCTGTAGAGACTGGATCA